CTGCGCCCCCGCCCCGAGCGGGAGCGGGAACGCGTGGGACAGACCCTTGCCACGCTGGGCGAGGCGGCGGTGGGGCGCCGCGTGGACCGCTACTGGCCCGAGGAGGGCGGCTGGTGGGCCGCGGAGATCACCGGCTACCGCGCCGAGACGGGGGAGCACGCGCTGACCTACGCGCGGGGCACCGCGGACGAGAGCTTCGAGTGGGCCGACCTGTCCGAGTTCCACGACACCGAGCTGCGGCTGGGGGAGGAGGACGAGGGGAATGGGGAGGATGGCGGGCCGGCGTGAGTGGGAATGAGTGGGCCGCCGCGACGGCTGCCTGGCTGCAGCCCTGGCACCATGGCCGCCTCTGGAGCGAGCCCACCAATGGCACTGTCGGCCCCTGGGAGCTGAGGCCGCGGCCCACCCTCCGGGGTTGGATTGAACGCCGCGTGTGGGATCACGAGGGCCCCCTCACCAGCCGCGCCGTGCACGCAACTCGGCTTGCACATCCCACCCCCGATTGCCCCCACTCTGATCCACTGCCCTCAGCCACTTAATGCACCTTGGTGCACTTCTGTACACTCTATCGAATCATGACTTAATGGTTGTGAAGGGGAAATGATGACGAACGTTGTCGGAGCCTCACCGGAGTGGGTGCAGCGGGTGGGCAGACCCGCGCATGCCCTGGGTGCCCTGCGAAGGATCAGTATCGTCATCTCTGGGCCGCCTGCTGCAGTAATCGCAGCGTGGTGGCCTTGGACAGGCCCATGACGGCGTCCATGCCGCCCTCCATCCTCACGATGTGGGGGGCCACCAGCGCGTGCTCCACCATCAGGCCTCCGGCGCACCAGAACACCTCGCCCTCCTCGATCAGCGCCTCGATGCTGGCCTCCGGGATGGCAGAGAACTCGATCTTGGGAAGTGTTTAGTTGGAAGGGGGATCGAACACAGGTGTGGAACGGTGGAAGAAGCAAGATGCTTGCAGGGGGCACAGTCAGCCAACGGGCCCTCCATCTTGGAGCCTGGCCGAGCCGGAGTGCTTTGAGGCTCCAGTCAACTGCCCACCCACTCCAACCCTGCCCAAGGCAACACACAGTGGTCACGTCGACAGCGCAGGCTGAGGCCCGCGTTTCCAGGTCGGTGACCATGACACTCCCAACGGTGGATGCAGGCGCGCTGGCATAGCCTCGGATAAATACCCTCGCCTGGGGCGGGGTGCAGGGATGTGATACTTGCTCGTGCGCTGGGGGAGTGACAATGGTCATGTTTACGCCGCACACAGACAGGCGAGGTGGGGGGTTCCCGCAGGATGGTCTTCATACTCTTCCCATATCATGACCTCGCAGAGTTTCCCTCGGAAGTGGCGTCTTTTAATACTCATCTCGCTTCCCAGGCCAATGTGTGGCCCACAACCCTCACGCACCTCTGCTTCGTCCCGAGGCTTCTCCAGGATCCTGTCCCTGTGCACGACCACCTGATCGCAGGTGATGAGCAGCCCAGAGGGGGCAGTTCCCTGGCTCGCGAGCCTGGAGGCAATGGCATCTGCCTTTGCGGCGGCCAGCTGGCGGACAAGCTGGTGGGGGTCCTCGTGCCTGATGGCCTGCTCGTCGATGTCAGCCGATGCGCATTCGTAGCTGAAGCCCAGCTCGGCCGCCAGCTCGTCCATGATACCTGGCAGTATCGTGCGAGGATGAAGGTGTGGGCTGATCCTCAGCGTGGAAGACCTGGATCTCATGGTGTGAGCATGAGTCGCCTTGTCCCCTCGCACCTACCCCTGCGAGATTTGGAGGAGGAGCCCAGCAGGATGCGGGAGGTCGGACCTAGCCAGGCCGGCTTGCTGGCCTGTGTGCTCGCCATGGAGCGATGCCGAGATTGACGCTTGTTAATAAATGGAAAATTCGAGATCCCAAACCGCAGCTGAGAATTGATCCCTGCCTCACACGCCGGCAGCTTGCAGGCGGTGCGCAAGGCAGGGGCTGCCAGGAGACACCGTTGGAAGATGCAGGGAGCGGGCAGAACGCCAAGCATCAATACCTATAGGAATGTTACCTAAACTCTAGGCACCTCGATTTCTCAGGCATGGGGCGTCATCGAGTGCTCTCCCCGCATGGACCCCCCCTACGACCTCCATGTCGATCATGCTGCGCGCGGCGTGACCCTTTCGAACCTCGATTCGCAGGTCGTGCCCATGCTGGCACGGGAGCACGGCAGCACAGTGGAAAACATCATCTTTACCCAATATCACTCGAGGCAAGGGTGTAACTATCGTGCAGAGCACACTGGGAGACCTCCCGGATCCCTTCGTCAGGGCACCCGAGCCTGGCAGCAACATGTCGTCTGATATTTTTAAGGTGAACAGGGCGCCAGATCCATTTGCTGCCTACAACGAGCTTTCATTCGATGCAAATCGCTGATCTCGTCCCTACCTCCCATTCTTCGCAGTCCTGCGTGTTCTTCGTCGACCTGCCGGGTCTGGGTCCGTTGCCAGTGCCAGCGTTGCCCCTCCCCGATTCCGCCCGCGAAGTCAGCAAGCTTCTAGGTGATGATCGTTGTCCATTGGTAATGCGCTTGTTCTCTCAAGCAGCAATGCGCCTGGCGCTGGCGGGTTGCGAGCCGGCCGCTGTACAACATGATCACCGGCTTCACAATGACCTCACATATCTTATGCCCACGTCTAACCCCAGAGTCACATGGAGGGATCCTGTCGGCCTCTGCTGCGGCTGCAACGCACGCCATCCTGCGGCATCGCCAGCAGGAGAGCTGGCTTGAGCTGGAGGCCTGTGCACATGACCGTCCAGTGGCCGTCTCCCTTGTGTGGATCCTGGCCTGTGTGGAGGAGGGCAGGCTGCTGCCAGTCCCTCCTGGAGACAAGGTAGGGCATGCACTCGACGATATTCTCCGTGCATCTGTGCGCCAGATGCATGACGCCATGCGGCGTACAGCACTTGTCCGATGTCGTTGATCCTGAGGGGCGCAGTACACCATCCCCTCCTCTCCATTCCCAGACGTCGCTGCTGCGCCCCCTCCCCAGCGCGGCCCTGCCCGGGGCGGGCGCCGTGACGGCCAGCCTCACCGGGTTTTGCGGCGCGCACCGCTGCCTGGCGCTGGCCTTGCTGCGCTGCGCCGGGTTCTCGGCCAGCAAGGCAATGCAGGTCAGCACTACGACCCACCTGCTGGCCACCTGGGACGAAGGCAGCGCGCCCTCCACGAAGCTGGACGTGGCCAGGTCCCACGGCATCGCGGTGGTGGGCCTGCCCTGGCTGCTGCGGTGCCTGGCTGGCTGGGCGCTCGCGGACGCCGCAAGCGGGGACGAGGGCGGGATGCGCGTGCTGGAGTTCCTCCAGGTGCACGCAGGACAGGAGGTTCTGGAAGGGAGCAGCGCAGGGTTGGACGCATGCGATGTGGATGAGGTGCCGGCCAGCCAAGGGGTGTCCGAGGCAGATAGGACCCCGGTAGAGCTGGATGAGGTGCCGGCGAGCCAGGCGCGGTGCGCGGTAGCTGAGAGCCCATGTGAGCGCTATGAGGCTCCAGCAAGGAATGCAGCTTCCATGGCGGCTGCTGCCCCGCTCGACCTGGAAGGAGCACCAGCGGTCCAGCCTGTGAAGAATGGACCCAGCTCACAGCTCGCGGTGGCCCCGCAGACTTGTAGCCTACCTGTGGCGATCGCTGAGTGGGCTGAACTCCCAGCCGCGAGCCTCACCCGCCCCAGCTCGTGCCCAGCCCTGCCAGCGCCGGCGCAGAGATCCGGCGGCCGGCCCAGCCTGGGTCTGCGCCTGAGCCAAGCAAGGTTCCAGGCGCCGCGGCGCCAGGGCGCCAGCCAAGCGCCCGGCGAGCCGTCTGTTGCCTCGGCGGCCTTGCCCGGCCTGGAAGCAGATGTGGCTCCCTCCCTGGACCTTGAGCCGGCACGGGAAGATCACATGGACATCCGGCGGGAGGAGCCGGGGCCAGTGTTGGCCGAGAATGTTCAAGCTCGTGAGGCCACGCAGGTGCATGGGCACCCACACCTGGACGCGGCAGACCCGGCCCTGAGCGGAGGGACCGTCCCGCCATCGCCGCCATCCCCGCAGACGAATGCCCAGCCGAATGCCATGGACGGCGACCAAACGCCCTCCGACCTCAGCTTCGGGCCGGCGGGGGATGGGAGCCCGTCTCAGGGTGGCAGCAGGAGCCCGTCCCAGGGGGCGGGAGAGGCTGACAGCGCCGCGCTCGGCGCACCTGCAGCAGCCCAGCCCCGCTCTGCAGCCGGCGCTCTGTCAGATCGTGGGCAGGCGGTGCGGGGTGAGGCGCGTCACGCTCGCGCGGCTTGGCCCGGCGCGCCGCAGGGGCGAGTCGAGGGGGACCCGTGCCGGTGGCTGTGGGCGTCGAGAACATCCCCCCCCCGTCCATCGCCTCACCCCCCAGCCAGGCCCCGGGCGCATGCAGCGCGCCTGTTGCGGGCGCGCTGCCCGAACGAGGTCCCCCCTCGTCTACGCCCTGCAGCGCCCCTGCTGGCGGCGGGGAGGACCGCGGCCGCGTGCTGTTGCCGGTCCCGGGAGACGGCGACGCGGCGGGCGACGGTCCGGCCCGCGGCGGGGGCCCACAGGGTACCACGGCGGCAGAGGGTCTCGCTCCCCTCGATGGCCCCGCCGCGGCGCTGGAGGCCCGGCCCCGGCAGGCGCAGCGCAAGCAGCGCGGCCCGCACCGCGCCCCCCTCTTCAGCCAGCTGGCGTTGAGGGAGGGGGGCTGGCAGGGCCGTTCGAAGAGGGCCCGGGTCACTGTGGAGGCTGCTGACGATGCGCGCGGGGGCGGCGATGCGCGGGGCGAGGGCTGCGGGAGCGGTGTGGAGGGAGGGCAGCCTGGGATGCCATCTGCCCCGCTGCCCGAGCCCAAGGTGTCGGCGCCCGCCGGCCAACGCGTGGGCACCAAGGTCAAGAGACGGAGCGCTGGTGGTGCCGGAGCCGCAGCGGTGCCGGGCGATGTACCGCCCGCCGGCGCCAAGGGGCGGCGCCGTCGTGGGCTGCCGGAAGGGGAGCCCGCCGTCGCGGTCCAGGGCCCGGCCGTGGCTGCGGACGGCGACGCCGACTCGCCAGCCGCGCGTCGCCCGCCTGCCCCTCGCCCCACGCGGGGGGCCGCTGCACGCGCGGCAGCCGGCGCGGCACCTGAGCCAGCCACTCGCACTTCGCACATGTGCCCCCTCCCCGCCGACCTGCCCTCCAGGCCCCCCTGCGCCGCCCTCAGCGGGTTCCACAGCGAGGAGCAGGCCCGGCTGGTCGCCGCGCTGCGGTCCATCAAGGTGCGTGGGGCTCGGTGGGCCTTGGCCCGGGCGGCACAGGGCGTCCGTGAGGGTCTGCACGCGAGAACGCGAGCTGGCCTCTGTCACCCTCCCCCCACATGACCCACGCCCCACCGGCCGATCCCCCCCGCCCCCCCCCCCCCTCCTGACAGGTCCAGTGCCTGCCCGGGAATGCGACGCACAGCTGGTCCCCGCGGGTGACCCACGTTGTGGCGCCACGCTTCCTTCGCACCAACAAGGTGCTGGCCGGGCTGGCCGCCGGCAACTGGGTGGTGTCGCCAGACTGGGTGTGGGCCAGCGCCGAGGCGGGGGCCTGCCTGGATCCGGTGAGTGGGATCGGGTGCCGCGGCGTGCGCGAGGTTGCATGGCGAGGGGCGAGTGAGTGGCGAGTCTCACCTTTCGGGGAGGGTGAGTGACCCCGGCGACCGGCGCTGAATGTGCCCTGCAGGAACCCTTTGAGCTGAGGGGCGAGGGCGGAGCCGGCATCGCACGGCACTGGCGTCTTCGAGCCCAGGCAGGCGCAGATGGTCCCTTCCATGGCCTCAAGGTGGGAGGGTCTGGGCCAGAGTGGCATGCGCGAGACGGGGCCACGGGCATCCGCCTCGATCCGCCCAGGCACCGCACCTTCCTCTGTGCGCACATGGACTCCAGCATGGCTGTCATGCATGCCAAACACACGCCCTGCAGGTTGCCATTGGCGCCTTGGGAAAGCCAGGCCCCACACGGCATGACCTGAGGTGAGGAGGGGTTTGGCGCGCACCTACGCGCAGGTTCGTGCTCTTCATCCCACCAGCGCTAGACTTCTCGTCGCGAGGAGCGTTCAATATCCTCTCCTTCCCCCCTCGGCAGAGCTATTGTGACCGCCGGTGGAGGACGGCTCGTGCCGATGAAATCAGCAGGACAGGCGGATCTTGTCCTGGCCGACAAAGCGACCCTGTCCAAGGGGCCAACCGCCGAGGCTACCGTCGTCACGCCGGACTTCCTCGTCGCGTGTCTCATGCAATCGGGGTATCGAGAAATGCTTCCCGCAAACCCCAATAGGACGTTGGTCAGGGCTATGGGCGCCATGAAGTGAAAACTCGTCGCCGCCCATACTGGCCCCCATGATCCAGCTGTAGATGCCAAGAAAACTGCACGCGCGAGTTGTCAAGTATGTTCAGCCCAGACCCGACGCTTCTCACGCGACTCATCGCGATGGAATGGCGTACTTCGTCGGATATTACATGAGGCTGCATGGTAGTGTCCATGGGGATCATGGGTCGAAATGGGCATCGGAATTTTCGGGCTTGCTCCAGGGGCATGCCTGTCAGCGAATTCGACCCCGGGGGCAGTTGCCGCATCCCCAGTTGCCTGGCGACCACCCACCATCCTCAGAACACGGCGTTGGCCCCCCTTCATCGACTCAAACAAGATTATCTACCCCGTGCAAACTCTGGGTGGGCACTCCTGTGGTGCGGAACCCACCGGGGAGGCATATTGCTGCACCCCAGTGTCGGAGATATTTGAATATAGTCAAAGCCGGCCGGGCCTTCAGCAGGCTCCCGGGCTCATCACGAGCTCGCCTAAAACCAGTTCGACTGCCAAACTCTCGGTATTGTCGGCCGAGATCACCTCCGCACGCGTTCTCAGGTGGGCTCGGTTCTGGTCGCTTCTTCCGCCCGGGGTCTTCCGGGAGTGGTCCTGCACATGACGTTGGCGCGTTAACTCTGCACAATTCTCTTTGGTTTGGTATCCCGAGGGATCTTGGAGGGCGTAGCGGCCTTTTGCAGCTCGGTGTCGCGCCCCACCTCGGAACGCGCTGGTTAACATCCACCTGCCTGCACCGCTCCCTTGCTCTTCCTTTCGCTTCCCAACCTGTCACCTTCACCCGATTCCATCTATTTTACCGGCAATTGTGCGCAAGTGGCGAACTTTGTGGTGCGACAGTTATCTTTCCCTGTGTCGACGGTCTGCGATCTGTCCGTCGGGCGGCCCTCGCCCTGGTCTGCCTCGTCTTCACCTCGGCAAACTCCCTGATAGTGGCTTCAAGGAACCCCTAACATCACTCACGCTTCGTCCCGACCCTTTTCCGCCTGTCGCAGTGGCCAAGGACGGCTTTCCCGGGCTGAGCCCATAGTATGGCTGTGGGAGCTCCCATAATGTACGATCGTTTTCCGGGAGCGGACATAGCTCCCAAGACCGATGACTGGATGCGGGCCGGGAGCGGTGGCGCCACCCAGCACCACTTGCTTCGACACTCTTTGCCCACCGACAACAAGGGTGCAACGGCTCTATCTCACTTTGGGGCGGCCACTGTGGCGGAAGCAGGCAAGACCATCAAGCGCATGAGTCAGCGTGACCTTCAGAACACCTTTCGTGCGGTGAGCTGGGTTTGGGCCAGCAGTGTTGAATAATTGCAGGCCTGTACTCTTGTTGCCCAGTCATTGTCGTTTGGCTGCCATGTGGTGCATGCCTTGCTTACTTTCTGAGCCGCCCCGTGGGGCTCCTATAGCAACTTCCAGCTGAACTCGTGGGCTCTCATCCATCGCAGGTGTACGGGACAAGAACATTCAGCAATAACAACAACTGGCTCCGCCGCAAGCTGTGCGAGGGTAAGGAGTGGTACAAAGCTCGATCCTCGGCTGCTTTGGTGGGGGCTGAGCCTCATGCTTCATGCCCCTGCAATGAGACCTGAGGTTTCTGATTTACCCACTATCCTACACGCTGGCTGCAGATAGAGCTCCCTTGATTGTTATCATCTTCCATCCCCTCTCTTCATCTCACACCCTTTCCCTTCAACATTGATGCAGCCATCGGGATCGATCCTGGCAAGGGTCCCTCCGCCAAGCGGTCGTCCAATGCAGCAACCACGCACTCAAAGGCGAAGCGCCGCAAGTCTGTGGCTCCGAAGGCGCACGCCATGTCCCCTGAGGACGCAGCGCAGGCCCTGCTCACCCTGGGAGAGAGTTCCAGCTGGGACGGCGACAGGTGAGTGGTAACGCGGGGAGGGGGGGGCAGAGCAGAGGATCCTTGCCTTCATGTGCATAGGTAAATTGTAGCAGAATGTATCTCATGATTATGGCTTGTGGGACCGAAGGAGGCTTGGGCAGGGTTGTTGCGCATGAGGCCTGCGCGTCCAATGCCCCGCTCCCCCCGCCTCCACACGCAGCTATTACGATCGTGGCAGCAGCCGAAGTGCCGCCACCGGGCCACCTGCGGTGGGGCTGGAGGAGCTGCAGCTGAGCATGAGCAGCCAGGCCGATCAGACGAGTGGCGCCGGCGAGGAGGCCTCCGTCCATCGTACCCAGGCGGCCGAGGTCTACGTGCTGCCCGCCCCAGAAGCGCACATCCTGGCGCTGCAGCACGCCGTCCCACGGACCGTGCACAGCTCGACGACGGCGCAGCCAACGCATGCCGGCGCTGACAGCCGGCCCGCAGCGGAGGCTGCACCGCAGGCCAGGCAGGCTTCCCCGCCCCGTCCCACCCAGGGCATGCCCGCCTGGGTGTCGCCCGAGCTTCTCATGCAGCTGCGCATGCTGCTGGACTCTGGCGGCTACCTGGCCAGCGGCCAACCTCCCGCCACCAGCCGCCCCGCCTCACGCCACCAGCCGTCGCTGCGGGGCCCCGAGCAGCGCAACGACTGGGAGGCGGTGGCGCGGGCGGGCATCCCCCTGCGCGCCATCCCGCTGCCCCTCTCCGGCGTCTCCCCCTGGGACACGCAGGGCAAGCCCATGGTGGGGCCGGGGAACGGGGCCGGGGCCGACGCCGCGCCGGTCGTGGTGCTGGGCGGCAGGTCGGGCGCCGTGTCGCCCGGAGTGCGCGTGTTCACCTCCTGACCAGGAGAACGAGGTGCGCAGCCCGCCCCAGAGCCTCCGGGGGCCTGTACTTCTCCCCGCGCCGTGCCCCGGGCGGCCCACTCCGATTGCTGTTTTCCCTACCCCTGTGTACTACTAGCCAGGTGGGTCGGCGGCCTGCCGGCAAGGCGGCCGCAATCCCTCGTATGTCCCATACAGCCTGGGCGCCACCCCGCCAATGCACCAGATCGTTTCGGGGCGGGCCGGTCGGCCGGCGCCGCTTCAGAGATACCCATCGTCTCAAGCCCCCACCGGAGTGCCCCGACGGCCCCCCCCCGCCCCGCCCTCCCTGTACTCCGTCCTCTCGCCTGCCCCCTCCCTTGTGACAAAACCCGTATGTTTCTTCCCAGCTTACTACCCAGCGATGCTCTCACCCTACGTGCCTGCCTCCAGGCTGCCATGCCTGACCCTCATGCCCTTATGTTTGAAATATCTTCTGCCCCGCGGCCCCCTGGGGGTCCACCGAGGAATCCCCTGCTCTGCCCAGACGGTCTGTACCATATGTGCCCTGAGCCACCAGGATTGACACAGTCAGCAGCCGTCAAGAGGAGCCAAGAGCGTCAGCGGCGACGGGCGCTCCGCCCACCCTCACCCCTGCTCAGGCTCCCCCTCCTCACGGGTGTGCTCCTCCGCCAGCGACATCTGGGTGGTCGGAGGCGGGGGAGCGGGCGGCTGTGGGGGGGCTGATGCAGATGCCTCGCAGCCGCCCTGCTGCTGCATCCAGGGGTCCTCAGAGTCTCGCCCTCCTGTACTCGCCGGCCCGAGAACAGCACGGCAAATCGCAAGTCCATCCTCGCAGCCCGCATGCGGGCCCCCTGCCCATCCCCCCGCCGCCGGGATCAAACCCTCTCACCTGGAGCGCGAGAGCGAGCTCCGGATCGTCCTCTTCCATGCCCTCCTCCTCCTCCCTCGCCGGTGGGGCGGGGCGCGGGGCCTCCTCCTTGACCGGCGCGGCGGGGGTGACGGCGGCCGCCGTGGCTGCGGCCGGCGTGGGCTGCTCAGCCTGCATGGACAGGGCCAGCGCCTCCTGCAGCAGCACGTCCTCGTCCATGGCCTCCACGTCGTCAGCCTCGCCCGCCGGCACGGGGGCCGCGGCGCGCGGAGCGGGCGTCGCGGCGGGCGCCGCCTCGGTCGCGCCGGCCTCCGCCCCGGGCTCCGCGCCGCCGGTGGCGGCCGCCTGCCGCGCGCGCTCCTCCTCCATGGACACGCGCAGCGCCAGCGCCAGCTCCGGGTCCAGGGTGGGGTCCACGCCCAGCTCACCGTAGTCAAAGCCGTCCACCACGTTGCCTGGGGATTGTGATGAGGATGGGGTGGATTCAGGGGTGGGACGAGTGGGCCAAAGAGCAGATTGAAGGATTCGACGGGGTGTGAAAAGTATCAAGGCGGAATGGCAGGCTGAAGCCATCGAAGCCTTGGGTGGGGTCCTCAGCCCTCTCATCCCCTCCCACCTCTCGTTTACACAGGCCTTGACAACCTCTCCAACCCTAGACCACTCACTCCTTGGAGGCGCGGGGCCGCCGCCGTCGCTGGACGCCCCCTCCTCCATGAATATCGGGGTGGCGAAGAGCTGGTCTGACAGGATGGTGCCTGGCGGCACCGTCACCAGGTGGCTGTTGCCGTTGCTGTTCACCGCCGCCTGGAAAGCCTCCAGCTTCTCCACATTGGCCTCCTCTGCGGTTTCCAAGGAGGGGGGAAAGAGCATTAGGTGTGGGACTGCTGAGTAGGGCAGGGGAGTCTTCGAGCTTGCTCTGAGCACTTCAGGCTGGTGCATCTGGGCCCAAGGTTGCTGGCCACACACTCAGAGGCTGCCGCTGTCTATCAGTAGTGAAGCAGCAGTCCATCCGCCGACCAACACCCGTCAACAGCACCCACCAGAGCCGAAGCTGACGATGTCCACTGCAATGTTGTTCTTCTTCAGCTTCCGTGCGATCTTCACCATGGAGTCCTGGGAGGGAGTTTGCATGCGGAACGTGAGCTGTGCCGTGTCTGGCAGTGAGGGTGCAGTCAAGCCAGCCCTCTGCAACAGGTGCCAGCCCCGCCCCCTTTGCCCACGTCCCCCACCCAACACACCACAGCACACCTTGTCCTCCTGGATGGGGCTGCCGATGAAGATGACAATGCGCTGCCTCTGGTTCTTGTTCTCGCGGTGCTTCAGGGCCAGCTGGGCTATCTGCACGGCCGTGGCCAGGTGCACATCCCCCTCAATGTCCATCTTCATCATGGCGTTCAGCACCTTTCCCAGCTCGGTGGTGGGGGTGACGAGCACCCGGGGGCTGCGCCCCGCCATGCTCATCACTCCCACCGTGTTCTCGGGGTGGTGCTGGGTCTTGGCCCCGGCCAGCAGGTTCACGGCATCCGCCTGGGCCTGGAACCGGGTAGGTGCGTAGTCCCCATTCCGCGTGAACTCGCTGTTGTCCACGCACACCACCGTGGACTCCTGGAGGGGCGATGCGGACCGATGAATTGGGATGGGAGAAGAAGTGCGACGGCCGTCCAGTCCCCTAGGAAGACTCACCATGTCCCTTGGCTTTCCTCCCTGGCCCAAGATCACTCCGTCTTCAAGAACGCAGAGCGGGATGCGTCACTATGCACGGAGCCGCGGCAGTCATGCCAAAAGTAGGTTTGATCACTCTGATGTGGTCTCTGCGGACGGGAGGGACATCTGGAAGGCAGGGGTCTGGGGCGCTTGGGCCTCCCCGATCACCCTGGCTGCCAGGTCACCCTTGCAGTCCAGGCGCGAGTGATCACCCTGTGCTACAAGCCAGCTCTTCGAGCAAGTACCGCACCGGATCTGCTCTGTATAAGAGAATTGTACTCGATGGACTGATGCGGTGTCGGGGCCTGGCCAGGTGAGCACTCTGCACCCGCACGATGGCAGAGTCGGTGGAGCAGCAGGTGGAGGAGCTCTTCCGCGCCAGGACTGTGGACCAGATCCGGGAGGCAAGTCGATAGAGATGCACTTGTGCTGCTGAGTGGGCTGGTGCCCATCCAGGAATGGGAATATGGAGCCCCTTGCGACCCGGCTTTCGCACCTGGTTCAGGTGGAGGTCCAGGCTCGACATGAAGTAGAAGAGAAGAGGGAGCAGCTGAGGCAGCTCATCGGCGGCTCGTACAGGTGAGGGCAGGTGTCTTGTTCCATTTAGTCCAAATGGTTCAGCTCTGGCGACGCGGCATTCAGCACCAGCTTGCCAGATCGGCAACGACAAAAAAAGTGTGTCTCCATCCACCCTGCAGGGAGCTGCTGGCCACCTCCGATGCGGTCATCGACATCCACGAGTCTGCCAAGCAGGTGGTGGGCCTGGTCTCCCGCATCCAGTCCCAGATGCAGGCTGTCGCTGAGGCAGTGGGAAAGAGCAACGCCGACAATCGCCTCGCCAGCCCCACCTCCAAGAGCTCTACCGAGCGCCTCTATGGTGGGGAAGACTGCCCTCTGGTGTTTCAGCTCTACATATGGGGCTTGCTTTTATCTGAGCGCAAAGAGTGTGCGAGGAATTACCACCTCCCACCTTCAGCTCTCTCGTGTCAGCCTAAGCCAATCACCAGACAGCTTTCCCCCTGAGCCCGAGCTTCTGACTGGTTGCTCCTCTATAAGGACCTCCCACATCCTCCCACCCCCCCTCACCAGACGTCGGCATCCGCGTCAAATTCCTGCTGGACACCCCCGAGCACGTCTGGGGCTGCCTGGACGCCTGCGACTTCCTCGGCGCGGCGTGCCGCTTCCTGGCCGCGTCCGACGCGCACCGCGCGCTGACGGGGCGCGGGAAGCACGGCGTCGCGGCCCAGTTCCCCCTGCTCCAGCACCAGTGGCCGCTGGTGCGCAAGTTCCGGGGCGAGGTGCAGGGCCGGGCGGGGGAGTGGCTGCGGGACGGCGCCGGCGCGGGGGACGTGCCGGCGCGCGACATCGCCGCCACGCTGGCGGCGCTGGCCCTGCTCAAGCCCGTGGACGGGCAAGAGCTGCTGCGCGTCCTTCTCGCCGCCCGGCGCGGCGCGGTGGAGCGCATCCTGCGCCGGCCGCCGCCGGCAACGCCCCGGGAGGGCACGGCCACGCTGGCGGCCGCGGCCGCGCTGGTGGCCTCCACCGTCGCCACCGCCGCCCAGCTCTTCTGCGTCCTGCCCGGGGTCACTCGCACGCCGCTGGTGCAGCGCGCACTGCGCCGCGCGCCGCCGCCCGGCCCCGGCGCCGACGCGGCCGCGTCGCGCGCCGACTGGCTCGGCCACGCCGAGGCGGCGGGCGCGCGCCTGGCCACCCTGGGCGCCGGCGGCGTGGCGCTGGAGCTCGGCACCTGGCTGGACGAGGTGGCGGGGTGCTGGGCCTCGGGGGCGCCGCGCGGCGCCATGCAGGCCGCGCGCTCCGGCCGCGAGCTGGCCGAGCTGGAGGCCGGGGTGAGGGCCTCCCTCGCGGCCTGGGCCTGCGAGCTGGACAGTTTCGGGGAGGAGTCGGACTCCGAGGCAGGGCCCACGTCTGCGCCCGCGCCCGCCCCGCGCGGACCCCGCCCAGTCCCGCTCTCCTGGGACGATGTGTGCCAGTGGGCGCTGGGTGCGCCGCGCCCCCTCTGGCCACTCCTGCTGGAGGACCAGCTGGTGGCCAGGGCCTGCGCTCTGGTGGACGGCGACGTGCGTGACGTCGTGGTGGGCGTCGGCGCCGCGCTGGGCGCCGCCCTGGAGGTGAGGAGGATGTGTCGTGGAGGGGGGCGGAAAGTTTGTTGGGGAGGAGATGCGATGCACAGGGCCAGGGCCCTTTCGACCCCGTGTGCAGCTGAGACGGGACGCGTGGGTAGGTTCCCTCACCCCACTCGACATCATGTCCTGGAGGGGTCCCTCTGCTCTGAACCGAGGGCAGGGCGGAACAGAGGCAACGACCCTGCATCCCTGGGGCGCCTCTCACACCGACAGCCTGCCGTGCCATGCTCTCACTCTCCACCACCCACCCTCGCCCTCCGTCCCGCCCCCCATCGCAGGCGACGGGGTCGCTGCCCCCACCCCAGGCGGGGGACAGGGGCGCCACGCCCTGGACCCAGGCGGTGGACCTGCACATGGGGTCCGCGGAACCCTCCGCCGCCGCGCCCGACGTCTGGCTGGCGGCCGCGGCGGCCAGTGCGAGGCTGATGGACGAGGGCCTGGCGCACGCCGCACACGCCGCGCGCGACGTGTGCGGCGCAGAGGGCCGCGCTGCGGCGCTGGAGCCCTTCCTGCGCCGGCGCCTGGCCGGCGCGGCAGGCGAGGTGGCCGACGGCCTGGGCGCGGCGCTGGCGGGGCTTCGCGAGCGGGGCGGGCGCGACGTGCACGCTGCGTTAGTCATCGGCCACGTGGCCGGCGCGCTGGCCACCCGCCGCGGTGGGCCCGTGCAGGACGGCGCGGGGCCGGGCGTCGGCGCGGGGGGCGCTCAGGCCGACGTGGAGGGCCTGCGCTCCGTCCAGGCCAAGCTCGGGTGAGGAGCTGCGGTCGGAGGGGCTGGTCAGAAGCGGGGCGGCGGCGAGAAAGCAGGGCACGTGGTCTCTGTGCCTCGTTTGGATCATGCGTTCAATGATGGACTTGCCCTGCGTGGGCATACTTTGACTCGGCACCCTCTCTTTCCTCTTTCCTTCTCACACACACTCGCCCCCCCCCCACCCCCCCGACAACATATTCAGGTCGATGGCCGAGGAGGCGTTCGAGGTGTGGGCCGACTGGGCTGCGGAGTGCATCGCAGCCGCGTTCGGCGCTGAGCTGGCGGCCGACCCGGCACTGGCGGCCCCGCGCCCGCAGCGCGGCTGGCGCCCCGCCGCGCTGCCCGGCGCCGACGGCGGCGCCCAGGGCTTCGAGCTGCCCTTCGCGCCCTCCCCCGCCACGCTGCGCGCGCTGTGCTGCGCCGCGCGCGAGGTCGACCGCGCGGGCGGCGCGGCGCTGGGGCCCGCGCCGCGCGACGCCTTTGAGGCGCGCCTGGCGGCCGCGCTGGCGGCCGAGGTGCTGGCCGCCGTAGGAAGCGGCGGGGAGGGGCGCGCCGATGCCGGTACCAGACCCTCCCCGCGCCTGTCGGAGCCGGGGGCGCTGCAGCTGGCGTTCGACGTGCGCCTGGCGGCCGCCGCGCTGGGGCAGGGCGCCGCCAGCGCCGCGGCACGTGGACCCAGCGCGGCCACGACGGCCACGCGCCACCACGCCGCCGCGCCCTCGGGGCCCTGGGCCGCGGCGGAGCGCGCCGTGGCTGCGCGCCTGGACCCCATCGACTGGGCCAGCGCCCTGCCGCACCTGGCCGCCGGCGCGGCGGCCGCCCTGGCCCGCTCCCGCCTCCTCGTCGGCCTGCTGTCCGGCGGCGCGCGGGCGGCGGGCACCCCCGCCCCGGCAGGGTCGGAGTCGGACGACGCGGTGGGCGTCCTGCGCGTCGCCCCCGCCGCGCCGCGCTGCGCCCTGCTCCCCGTGTCCACCCCGCCGCCGGCGGCGGTGCCGAGGTCCCTCGCCGCTGAAAGCGACACGGGCCCCGATGAGGCCGCCGAGCCGCGTTGCCCACTGTTCGACGCCGACGGCGGCGGCGGCGCGCACTACGGTTTTGCCGCGCTGCGCGCCGCGCTGCAGGCGCGGGCACACAAGGAGGAGAGGCCGGCGGGGCGGGGCGGGGGCCGCGGCGCGGCCGCCGCGCAGGCGCCGGGGCCCAAGGAGATGGGCGCAGCGGCCATGGATGCACTGCGCGGCTCCAAGCTCGGCGCGCTGCTGGGCGACCGCGCGGCGGAGATGACGGCCAGCCTGGGGGACATGAGCTTTGGGACGGGGCTGCTGTCGTCCCTCACCGGCGGGCTCAGGCGCTGAGCTGCCACTCGAACGTGCCCCCCCAAGAGCCCCATTGCAGTATCCCGTGTCCTCTACTTGCCACTGTAAAATGGATGCCCATTCCCCACTTCCAGCAATCTGAATCATGTTGATTCAGAATGAGTGAGGCTGCGCATACAAAAGACAGCGCCTCCAGTGGTCGGATGTTGAATAGCCCTGGTCCACTGATTTTAGGGGTTTTCCATGCTGATGGTTACAAGGGCGAGGTGCGAAAGGAGAGCATGTCATGCCGGCACTAGGCAGTGGCGTCAGACACGATCCTGACGAGCCCACCGCGCTTTCCGTGCTGCAGCATCGCGCCGTCGCTGGTGCCGAGGTCCACCGCGATCCCCCGCGTGCCCTTTGAGCGCGCCGCCTTCTTGTGGAACTTGTGTGCCGCTCGCACCGGCTTGCTCGGCTTTTGTCCTTGCGCTGCGAGGGGGTGTGGGAGTGGATACTGCTGCTCTCAGAGTGTTGTAGAGAGTGCGATCGCTAGCATCACTGAAACGAGTACCCCAGCAAGCCTGCCCATCCTTCCGACTCCTCATTTCCCTTGCAATCCCCTCAAATTCACATACCTTGCAGCTTCAGCTCCTCCAGCAGCTCGAGGTCCGCCAGGTCCAGCTCGGCGCCGGCGCCAGCAGACACCCCCGGCCCTTCCTCCTCCTCGCTGTCCTCCTCCCCAGACGTGGAGGCCTCCTCCTGCCCTCCGCCAGAGGGCGCCTCCAGCGCCGGCGCTCCGGAGGAGCAGGCCAACGCCTCGGGCATGCCGCCGTGTGCCAGGGCCGCCGCCACGGCCCTCACCGCCCGCGCCGCCCCCGGCGGCGCCTTGCAGAACATGAGCTTGCCATCGATGTAGTCCTTGAGGATGCGGCGCCCGGCCCGCACCTCGTCGGGCAGACCCGACCCCACCACCCAGCCCCGCGACAGGGCCAGAGCGCGCAGCACCTCCACCGCGTCCGGGTGCCTGGACAGAAAGGGGGGGAAGAGAGGGGAGGAAAGGCTGGAATGGGAGCAGTGCGTTGTCCACACAGCAACCCACACAGCCGGCCGTTCCGGTGGCACGATCACCTCAAACCTCACCCCTACAACCCCCCGGACCCCATTGCCCACTCACCCCTCTCCCCTGAGGTGCAGGGAGTAGGCAGAGGAGAACTGGCGGCGAGAGATTCGGAGGGCGATGGCTCCCACCGGCGCCCGCACGTCGGTCAGGCGGTCGATGGGGATGACCCCTGCGGCCACCATCTCCGCCTTGCTGTTGGCGTACTGGGGCATGACCAGGCCCGGGCAGTCGCAGAGGGTGAGGTCATCGGTGACGTTCAGGGTCTGGAAGTGCTTGGTCTTGCCCGGCGTCGGCGCCACCGCCGTCTTCTTGGACCCAAACAGCGCGTTGATGGTGGAGGACTTGCCCACGTTGGGGTAGCCGGTCAGGCCCACCACCAGCCGGTCGCCGTGGGCACCCTGAAGATGTGGAAGGAGAGTTCGTGAGGGAGAATAGAGGGGCAGGGGCTGGGGTTGGGGGGTGCGTGTGATCACACATTCTCACAGGTGGAATGGCATGCTAATCGAAGGTCAAGCAGCCTGGATGCCGTTGAACATACTTCTGACACCACACGAAAAGGGTCCCCCACCCCCCACCCCCCCTCCCGTCCGCTCACCCTGGGAACGCCCAGGAGCGCCGCCTCCGCCACCGCCTCTTGTGCGGTGCGGTGCAGCAAGTCCAGCAGGCCGTCGACCGAGAGGAGGGCGGCGCGCGGGTCCGGGTCCTGGTCCCGCCTAGCCACCCCAATCCCGCTCGCCGCCTCCTCTGCCTCCGCCTCCGCCTCCGCCTCGGCGGCGGCCTTGGCGGACCAGAAGGCGTGCCGGATGCCCCGCGCCTGGAAGTAGTCCGCCCACGCGCTGCGCAGCGCGGGCGGCAGCAGGTCTGCCTTGTTCAGCAGCAGCAGGCTATGCTTGGTGGCATGCAGCTCGTGCGCGTAGGCGTCCAGGTCGGGGCAGGCGTAGGTCAGCGGGTCGCGCGCGTCCACCACCTGGACCAGGACGTCTGAGCGCTCCAGCACGCGCCAGAGCTGGCGCCAGACCTGCAGGTTCTTCTCAAAGGGTGTGAGCACCAGCGATTCTTCACCCTCCAGCAGCGCCAGGTCGCGGCGCCAGGCGAGGAAAGAGGCGCGCTCCTCCGCGTCTAGCGCCGCGGGCGTGGTCCCCTCGTCCCAGGACGGCCGGCGCGGGATGGTGAGGCGGTGGCGGTGCCGCTCCTCCGCAGCGCTGCGCTCGGCCTCGGCGCGCTCGGTGTCCCTGGGTGCCACCGAGCCGGTGCTGATCACCACCACGTTCTGCCTCTCTGCGGAGAAGTCCTTGTCCGCCAGCGTGGCCTTGGGGAGGGGAGGGGGGGTGGGGGGATTGAGAGAACGTAAGGGATAAAATAGGAGGGAGCCCCCTCCTTGCAGGGGCAGCAAAATGGGCAGCTTGGGATATGTGCCCAGGGGCGCCCCCCGCCTTCAACCACCCCAACAGCGCGTGCATGCAGGGCATGCATGCCAAGGCAATCCCCACGCCATCCATTAGCTTCACCATGGCCATCATCTCGTCCAGGTCGTTGCGCTCGATCACGCTCTGCATGTTGTTGTCGGGGCCCAGGTCCGTGGTGTACATGTGTGCCGCCGCCCCGGCGGTCCTGCCCTCCCGCTTAGCGCGATTCACCAGGGACTGACCCACGGAGAGTCCCGACTTGCGGGACTTACCATTGTGCTTCCCCATGGCCCCGAGACCCCGCACAAGGAGGGAGTCGGGGGTGTGGCGGGTGCTTCTCGACCGCCTGCAAACACTCCTACTGTGCTTCACTTTGGATAAGTATGGAAATTCAAAAAGTACAACCCACACATAGTATTGTGAAGACTTGCGTCAGCGAGAACGTGGGGCGCTTGACACAATCGTCGCGCCCTGTGACCTCGCGCCCAGACGAAGTTTGGGGAGAATCGGCACGGCCAGGAAAGTAATCTCCTGGTACACTGCCAATATACATGCATTTGCAAATGGGAGAGGGTGCGGTTCTACTTCTTAGGACGAGAGAGATAATAATTGTGGTTGAAGTGCATGATGCTGGCCGACAAGATGATACTGCTGTCAGATGTAGGAGACTGCGGTGCATGTGGCAGGTGTACCCAACAGAGGCAAGGAACGGCTTCAAGCAAGGGCATCATCGAGTTTTGAACCAAATGGTACCGTTCCCTTGGCACGGGTATGCGACAGAAAAGGCTAAGTGTTTGCGCTAAAGGACTCTTGAATGCTCCCCTTCAGGGCTGTTGCAAGCAAGAATTGATTAGTTCAGTTGATGGGGAAGTTCAAGTTTGCTGATACTTCAAAGGAGCATGAGGTCGGAATGTTTGAATCATTCATTTCACCGGATGTCGCTCCTAGCGGCGGCGAGGATGATCCAGACTTGCACCGCGCACGCCTACCGAGACCTGTAGTCGGATTGACCTCATGACTGAGAAGGATGTCGTAAGCGATTCTAAAAAGTTTGTGGAGGGTCCAGCGCGATGAAACACAAATGAACGGCGGACTGCTTCGGCCTAGAACACACCCTGTGGAACGCTTGTGAAACAATCAATTGTCCGATCTTTATGGATATCATTTGACCCCACAAAATGCTTGCTGCGTTGGTGCCCCAAAGGATTGAAAGAGGGGAGATGACATCAGTCAGAAGGTTGGGGCGAAATTCGCGTGTCGAGAGTGGCTTCAATACTTTCTAAAAAATTCTCAATGTTCGACTACCCTGTGAGGGGTATGCCAGAACCCTCGCCTGCCTTCACAACATGACTTCCTGTCCCGCCCGCGACTCTCTAAGCCGAGACTGAATCCATGCTGCGCCAGCCGATGTAATTCATTTTCAGAAATGCCTTCTACAGTTAAAACTCCCAGTGAGACATTACGCACGATACTTGTAGGTCTCGAGGTGGGAAGTTTAGGTTGTCTGAAGTACGGCTTCCAACCTGTCGAGTCGAGGAATGATTCCAAGCAGTTGCTGTAACAGGAATTTCGCTGCCCCGTTCCTATTCCATCGCCGCCTACGCTGGTGCGTAGGGGTACTCATCCACTGAACCTACCTGCATCCGTAGTATTGCCTATACCCATCCTTGTCCTCACTGTAAGCATCCAGTGACATCCAGACGAGAGTTTCAACTCCCGAGCCGTGCCTCGATGATTATATATCGCTACCCCATTCACGTGCCTATTCCGGCCTTCCCTTTTCAATTGCGGTAGCCCTGACGTGCTGCCGGGTGTCATCCGGAAACCGAACCTGATTTGCCCGGTCCTGTCGGGCCGAACCAGCACCGGCATGTGTGTAGTCCGATGCAGCCCTTAGTAAGGTCTCGTTCACTTCAGCACGGGAACAAGATTACAATAAGTCTATACTTTGAGCTGGACTACGCTTCTCGCGAGGGGAGTCTGTATAAGAGCTTATGAGCGCACACTTTCAACCAGCCAGGAGCCTTGTAGTCGTTGTCGTGACTCTCTTTTTCATTCAGGTTCGCACAGAGCAACACTCGAGTGCATTGACATAATTTACCATGCTATATTATCCCTCAGTGTAGCCAAGCTCTGAGTTGCCCGTCCCTTTCTCTGCGCGTAGGTTACACATGGCGACCACTCCGACCAAGCGTCAGGGAGTTCAAGAGCCGATTCCGCTGTCCAAGCAGGGAGCGGTTCGCTGAGTGTAACCTTCGGCCATGCCACACCCATGTCGGTGCAAGCTACTCAAGCTTATATGGTGAAGAAGGACAAACCGTCTCCCAAGGGGGGACAGTCAGTTGCCGTACGGCAAGCGGATGCGGCTTCACAATCGCACTCGCAACCTGAAGCGAACAAGCGCCTGCCGATTTCAGCGAGGAAGAGTCCACCTCCCCTGGTAAAGAAGAGCCCTCCAATTCCAGTAAGGAAGATTCCGTCACCCCCAGCAAAGAAGAAACCACCTCCCTCAACGAAGAAGTGGCCTCCACCCCCAGTCAAGAAGACCCCTCCTCCGGCACGAAAGAGCCAACCTCCCCCTGCACGAAAGAGCCCAACCCCAATGAAGAAGAGCCCACCTCCCCCTGCACGAAAGAGCCCTCCCCCTGCACGAAAGAGCCCTCCCCCAGCGAAGAAGTGGCCTCCACCCCCAGTCAAGAAGACCCCTCCTCCGGCACGAAAGAGCCAACCTCCCCCTGCACGAAAGAGCCCAACCCCAATGAAGAAGAGCCCACCTCCCCCTGCACGAAAGAGCCCTCCCCCTGCACGAAAGAGCCCTCCCCCAGCGAAGAAGGCCCCCCCTCCCCCAGCGAAGAAGGCCCC